GCTGGGATTATAGGCACACGCCACCACACCTGGCTAATTTTTGTATTTTCAGTAAAGACGGGGTTTCACCATGTTAACCAGACTGGTCTCGACCTCCTGACTTTGTAATCCTCCCACATCGGCCTCCCGAAGTGCTAGGATTGCAGACATGAGCCACCACACCCAGCCAAATAATGTAAAGTCTTTGAACACATGAACACAAGATATTTTTCAATTCATGTCTTTAATTTCATTTAGCAACATTTTGTTATTTTCAGTGTACAAACAGTCTTTTGACTTCTTGGTTTGTAATTCCTAAGTGTTCAATTCTTTTTTTTTTTTTTTTTTGAGACGGAGTCTGTCACCCAGGCTGGAATGCAATGGTGTGATCTCAACTCACTGCAACCTCTGCTGCCCGAATTCAAGTGATTCTCCTGCCTCAGCCTCCCAAGTAGTTGGGATTTCAGGTGCCTGCCACCGCGCCCGACTGATTTTTGTATTTTTAGTAGAGATGGGGTTTCACCATCTTGGCCAGGCTGGTCTTGAACTCCTAACCTTGTGATCCACCCGTCTTGGCCTCCCAAAGTGCTGGGATTACAGATGGGAGTCACTGCGCCCGGCCTATTCAATTCTTTTTGGTGCTATTGTTTGTGGTATTGTTTTCTTAATTTCTTTTTCTCATTATTCATTTATGGTGCATATAAATGCAACTGACTTTTTTGGTCTTGAGACAGTCTCCCTCTGTTGCCCAGACTGGAGTACAATGGTGTGATCTCGGCTCACTGCAACCTCTGCCTCCTGGGTTCAAGTGATTCTCCTGCCTCAGCCTCTCGAGTAGCTGGGACTACAGGCATGGGTTACCACACCTGGCTAATTTTGTATTTTTAGTAGAGATGGGGTTTCACCATGCTGGTCAGGCTGGTCTTGAACTTCTGACCTCAAGTGATCTACCCACCTCGACCTCCCAAAGTGCTGGGATTACAGGCATGAGCCACTGCACCTGGCCCCATTGTTTTTCATACATTGAACCATCCTTGCATTTTCTGGATAAATCTCTCTTGATCATGCCATATAATCCTTTAAATATGGCAGGTATGATTTGCTAGCATTTATTGAGGATTTTTTGCATTTATATTCGTAAAGGACATTTGTGGTTTTCTTTTTTGTAGTGTCAGCATAATTTTGACTTCATAGAGGGAGTTTGGAAATGTTTCCTCTTCAGTTTTGGAAGAATTTGAGGAGGATTGATAGCAATTCTTTTTTAAATATTTGGTGGATTTCAGCAGTGAAACTCTTTGGTGTTCTGGGTTTTGTATTTGTTGAGGTTTTTAAAATTATTATTATTATTTTTGAGATGGAGTCTTGCTCTTTTGCCCAGGCTGGAGTATAGGTGGTATGATCTTGGCTGACTGCAACCTCTGCCTCCTGGGTTCAAGCGATTCTCCTGCCTCAGCCTCCTGAGTAGCTGGGATTACAGGCATGCACCACCATACCCAGCTAATTTTTGTATTTTTAGTAGAGACAGGGTTTCACCATGTTGGTCAGGCTGGTCCTGAACTCCTGACCTCGTGATCCGCCTGCCTCAGCCTCCCAAAGTGCTGGGATTATAGGTGTGAGCCATCACGCCTAGCCTATTATTATTATTTTTTGAGACAGAGTCTCGCTCTGTCACCCATGCAGGAGTGCAGTGGCGTGATCTCGGCTCACTGCAACCTCCGCCTCCCAGGTTCATGCCATTCTCCTGCCTCAGCCTCCGGAGTAGCTGGGACTACAGGCGCCTGCCGCCATGCCTGGCTAATTTTTTGTATTTTTAGTAGAGACGGGGTTTCACTGTGTTAGCCAGGGTGGTCTCGAACTCCTGACCTCATGATCTGCCCGCCTCTGCCTCCCAAAGTGCTGGGATTACAGGCGTGAGCCACTGCGCCCGGCCAATTTATTAATTTTCTTTTTTTTTTTTTTTTTTTTTTGAGATGGAGTCTCGCTCTGTCTCCCAGGCTGGAGTGCAGTGGCCGGATCTCAGCTCACTGCAAGCTCCGCCTCCCGGGTTCAGGCCATTCTCCTGCCTCAGCCTCCCGAGTAGCTGGGACTACAGGCGCCCGCCACCTCTCCCGGCTAGTTTTGTGTATTTTTTTAGTAGAGACGGGGTTTCACCGTGTTAGCCAGGATGGTCTCGATCTCCCAGCCTCGTGATCCGCCCGTCTCGGCCTCCCGAAGTGCTGGGATTACAGGCTTGAGCCACCGCGCCTGGCCAGCCACCGCGCCCGGCCTAATTTTCTTAATTTATGTTATTTTTTTGAGACGGAGTTTCACTCTTGTTGCCCAGGCTGGAGTGTAATGGCGTAATCTTGGCTCACTACAAGCTGCGCCTCCCAGGTTCATGTGATTCTCTTGCCTCTGCCTCCCAAGTAGCTAGGATTACACGCGCCTGCCACCACGCCAAGGTACTTTTTTGTATTTTTAGTAGAGACGGAGTTTCACCATGTTGGCCAGGCTGGCCTCGAACTCCTGACTTAAGGGGATCCACCCGCCTTGGCCTCCCAAAGTGCTGGAATTACAGGCAGGAGCCCCCGTGCCCAGCTGTTTTTTTTTTTTTTTTTTTTTTTTTAAATTTATTACTATGTCAATCTCCTATTACTACAGCTCTATTCAGACTTTTTGTTTTTTCATGACTCAGTCTTGGTATATTGTGTATGTGTAGACATTCGTCCACGTAATCAATTATCTAATTTGCTGAAGTATTCTGAAGGACTTCTGAAACTAAGCCTGAGTTGTACGGTTGTATAGTTTTTTGTGCTCTGCTGTATGTATGTATTCTGCTGCTGCTGTTGTGAGTGTAAGGGTTGAGGTGAGGGGAAGCATTCTATTGACCTATGACTTAGCCTCATTAAAAGATAATAGGCCGGGCACAGTGGCTTGTGTGTGTAGTCCCAGCACTTTCAGAGGCAAAGGTGGGCAGATTGCTTTAGCCTAGGAGTTTGAGAGGAGCCTGGGCAACACAGGGAGATCCTATCTCTACAAAAAATACAAAAATTAGCTGGGTGTGGTGGTAGTAGGGGACAAAGTGGGAGGATCGCTTGAGCCTGGAAGGTTAAGACTGCAGGGGCCATGATTGTACCACTGCACTCTAGTCTAGACAACAGAGTGAGATCCTATCTCAAAAAAAATATTATATCAATATTTATTTATTTATTTATTTGGAGACAAAGTCTCACTCTGTCACCCAGGCTGGAGTGCAGCAACAGAATCCTAGCTCACTGCAGCCTTGAATTCCTGGGCTCAAGCAATCCTCCTGCCTTAGCTTCCCAAGTAGCTAGGACCACAGGCACCTGCTAACATACCCTGCTAATGTTTTAAAAATGTTTTTTCTGGAGATGGCCATAACTTTTACTTTTTTTGTTTTTTGAGGTAGAGTCTTGCTCTTTTGCCCAGGCCCACCACACCTGGCTAATTTTTGTATTTTTAATAGAGACTGGTTTTCACCATGTAGGCCGGGCTGGCCTTTAACTCCTGACCTCAAGTGTTCTGCCCCACTACTCTACAATGTCTGCTCTATTATTAACTAAGTTTTCATATGAATACTGGCCCATTGAAGACTCTCTTCTTTTCCTTTGATCTATTTGTTTATCTCCCTGCTAGTAGTATGCTGTCCTGAATGTGATGGTTTGGAAATCCTTGGTGTGTGTTAGGCAAGCCATCCACCAGCTATTCAGGAGGCTTTGGCAATTATTAGATGTTAATTCCTGCACACCAGGTAGTGGGAGGTTTGGAAAAGTAGCTTTTGTTGACCTAAAATGTCTGTTTTGAGGATTTTTTTTTTTTTTTTTTGAGACAGAGTCTCGCTCTGTTGCCCAGGCTGGAGTGCAGTAGCATGATCTCGGCTCACTGCAATCTCCACTTCCTGGGTTCAAGTGATTCTTCTGCCTCAGCCTCCCAAGTAGCTGGGACTACAGGCATGTGCCATCAGGTCTGGCTAATTTTTTGTATTTTTAGTAGAGATGGGGTTTCACCATGTTGGCCAGGCTGGTCTCAAACTCCTGTCCTCAAGTAATCCACCCGCCTCGGCCTCCCAAAGTGCTGGGATTACAGGTGTGAGTCACCATGCCCAGCTGTATTGGGTATTTATGAAATTTTATAAGGATATCATTTGGAAAAAGGGACATCTATTGAGGTTTTTCTAGGAACACGTGTCATCTTTCCACTTACTCCATTCTGCTTTGATAGAAATTTAAAAATTCTTCCATGAGGACGATTAAATATTGATTATGAGTCTTATTTACTACTTGATTAAATTTGGTCTAGAGTAAACTGCTTGCAACCTTCAGAATATTCTCTCTTGGTATAACCACATGGGATGAGCTCAATTCCCCAGTGGACAAGTTGTGACAACAAGTGTGACATATGTCTACTAGGAAAGCTCATTCAAGACTCAGTGCCCAGAGTGTTTTTTGGGGCTAGTCTCCTAGGCACCGCTGCTAGTTTGGAGCAAAAGAGTAGGCTTTCAGAAGGAAAACAGTTCAGTCAGTACCATCCTGTTTGTCAATAGTAAACCGTTTAGCCACAGTGAGCCACTTTGTCACTTAGGTTGATGGGATCCCTCTTGTAGTCTAAGTTCCCCCTGATGGTAGCAAAGGTCGAACTTGGTGAACAGGCCTTTCTAAGGAGACCCAGACTCAGGACTGCTGAAAGGAGTGCTGTCTGCGCACCAGGTGGCGGCAGTTTGTTGTGACGGAGAGATCCTCTCTGCAAAGAGCATTCGGGGCAACGCAGCAGCACAACTGACTCCCTGGACCCACCACGGAGAGGGTGTTCCTCCTCTGCGGCTGGCTCTCCGAGTAGGTCAGTTCTCACACCGGAACTGCTGTGAGGGAGGAAGCGCATGTAGATAGAGAGGAGGAGGCTGATGACTCAGTCATGGAGTGAGTGAGTGGAGAACCCGGCGTCATGGGATCACTCACGTATTGGGTAGAGATCCCCAGTGCTGAGTCTCACCCCTCCTCCTCCACCCCTGTGGGATGTTTCAGGACTCAGTGGCCTTTGAGGATGTGGCTGTGAACTTCACCCAGGAGGAGTGGGCTTTGCTGAGTCCTTCCCAGAAGAATCTCTACAGAGATGTGATGCTGGAAGCCTTCAGGAACCTGGCCTCTGTCGGTAAGGAGGACAACATTTCCTTCCTTAGTCAATTAGAAGACAAGTGTGCTTTGGTCACCAGTGTGGTTGCACAATTTGGAATGTGGAAAGAGAATATGTTGGTGAATAAATCGGGCATCGTGGGCCAGGTACAGTGTGGCTTACCCCTGTAATCCTAGTGTTTTGGGAAGCCACGGTGGGAGGATTGCTTGAGTCCAGGAGTTTGAGACCATCTTGGGCAACATGATGAGACCCTGTCTCTTTAAAAAAAAAAAAAAAAAAAACACAATGGTGGGGGGTGGGCAATTGTGGTGGCTCATGCCTATAATCCCAGCACTTTGGGAGGCTGAGACAGGTGGATCACCTGAGGTCAGGAGTTTGGGACCAGCCTGGTCAACGTGGCGAAACCTCGTCTCTACTAAAAATACAAAAGTAGCTGCGTGTGGCAGTGCATAGCTGTAATCCCAGCTACTCGGGAGGCTGAGGAAGGAGAATCACTAGCACTCAGGAGGTGGAGGCTGCAGTGAGCAAAGATTGTGTCACTGCACTCCAGCCTGGGTGGCAGAGTGAGACTTTGTTTCAAAAAAAAAAAAACATCAGGTATTGTGGCAGTGTTTAATGAACTTAGAACCTAGTGATTTTTCTGTAGTTTTAAGTAATTCCTGATGATTTCTCTGGGTCTACATTTTAGGAATCCAATGGAAAGACCAGGACACTGAGAATCTGTACCAAAATCTGGGGATTAAGCTAAGGTAATCTGTACTCACAAGAGGAAGAATGTAATAAAGATTCTCTTGAGGGAATCTTAGCACGTCAGGAAAATAAAAAAAAATACGAGACAAATAAGTACAATGTTAGATTTTTAACTGATTATTAGAAGATTGCCACCAAAAATCTATCCTTCAATGTAATATAGATATTGAGTGTCTGGACAGGGTACTAAGAATCTGTGACATGGATGTCACTGTTTGGATAATAGCCATGGGGAGCTGGGTAGCAGAATCATCAATACACTTCCTTTCTAATAATTCTGACCTGGCAGAAAATCTCCACTTTTCCTGATTTTGGTAGCAGCATAAGTCTTAAGACATGTCCATTAATAGAAAAGCGTGAATAAACCATGCGCTTGTCATTTGTCATAGAAGTCTGGTGGAGAGACTCTGTGGACGTAAAGAAGGGAGTGAACACAGAGAAACCTTCAGGCAGATTCCTGATTGTCACCTGAACAAGAAAGTCATACTGGAGTGAAACCATGCAAATGCAGCGTGTGTGGGAAAGTCTTCCTCCGTCATTCATTCCTGGACAGGCACATGAGAGCTCATGCTGGACACACAAGATCCGAGTGTGGTGGGGAATGGGGAGAGAAGCCCCGTAAACAGAAACAACGTGGGAAAGCCTCCGTCTCTCCCAGTAGTGGTGCACAGCGCACAGTAACACCAACTCAAAAGAGACCTTATGAATGCAGGGTATGCGGGAAAGCCTTTAATTCTCCTGATTTATTTCAAATCCATCAAAGAACTCACACTGGAAAGAGGTCCTATAAATGCAGGGAAATAGTGAGAGCCTTCACCGTTTCCAGTTTCTTTCGAAAACATGGCAAAATGCATACTGGAGCAAAACGCTATGAATGTAAATACTGTGGAAAACCTATCGATTATCCCAGTTTATTTCAAATTCATGTTAGAACTCACACTGGAGAAAAACCTTACAAATGTAAACAATGTGGTAAAGCCTTCATTTCCGCAGGTTACCTTCGGACACATGAAATCAGATCGCACGCGCTGGAGAAACCCCACCAATGTCAGGAATGTGGGAAAAAATTCAGTTGCTCCAGTTCCCTTCACAGACATAAAAGAACCCATGGTGGAGGGAAACTCTACAAATGTCAGAAATGTGCCAAAGTCTTTAGATGCCCCACATCCCTTCGAGAACATGAAAGGGCGCACACTGGAGAAAGACCTTATGAATGTAATAAATGTGGTAAAACCTTCAATTATCCCAGTTGTTTTCGAAGACATAAAAAAACTCATAGTGGAGAAAAGCCATATGAATGTAAAAGGTGTGGTAAAGCCTTTGGGTCGTGCAGTTCCCTACGAAGACATGAAATGATTCACACTGGAGAAAAGCCCTTTGACTGTAAACAGTGTGGTAAAGTCTTTACTTTTTCAAATTACCTTAGGCTTCATGAAAGAACTCATTTGGCTGGGCACAGGCCGTGCTTTGGCAGGAGGTAGGTGGATCACCTGAGCCCAGGAGTTTGAGACCTCAGATATCCCAGTTCTATTCAGATATCCCAGTTCTATTCAGAGCCATAAAAGGACTAATACTGGAGAAAAATTGTAGAAATATACAGAATATGGGGAAACTCTCATCGCTATCATCTCCATTCAAAGACACATGTCAGTGCACAGTGGAGATGGATGATACGAATCGAAGAATACACACTGGATGGAAATGTTAGGAGTTTGGAAAATACAGGAAACTTCAATTTTAACAATTATTAAAATTCACATGGGCTGTGCACAGTGGCTCTCGCCTGTAATCCCAGCACTTTGGGAGGTTAGGGTGGGTGGATTGCTTGACGCCAGGTATTCGAGACCAGCCTGGCAACATGGAGAAACCCCATGTATACAAAAAAATACAAAAGTTAGCCAGGGATGATGGTGTTTGCCTGTAGTCCCAGCTACTTAGGAAGCTGAGGTGGGAGAATTGCTTGAGCTTGGAAGGTCGAGGTTGCAGTGAGTGGAGACTGCACCACTGGACTCCAGCCTGGGCGACAGCAAGACCCTGTCTAAAAAATTGTGAGAACACCCACTTGAAAGAAATCCTATAAATGTAAGTAGTTTTGAAAGCCTGATGCAAATTAATAATTATATAATGCTCAAAAACTTAATCATGAATGAGTTATTATACAAAGTTATATAGCATTTATCGGTGGCTCATTCTTTTTCCTTTTATTTTTTATTTTTCGAGATGGAGTCTTGCTCTGTTGCCCAGGCTGGAGTGCAGCGGCACAATCTTGGCTCACTGCAACCTCTGCCTCCTGGGTTCAAGCAGTTCTGCCTCAGTCTCTGAGTAGTTGGGATTACAAGTGCATGCCACCACGCCTGGCTAATTTTTTTGTATTTTTAGTAGAGATGGGGTTTTGCCATGTTGTTCAGGCTGGTCTCGGACTCCTGACCTCGTGATCCGCCGTCCTCGGCCTCCCAAAGTGTTGAGATTACAGGTGTGAACCACCGCGCCCAGCCTTTTTTTTTTTTCCCCCCGAGACACAGTCTCGCTCTGTTGCCTAGGCTAGAGTGCAGTGGCACGATCTTGGCTCACTGTAGCTTCTGACTTCTGGGTTCAAGCAATTCTGCTTCAGTCTCCGAAGCATCTGGGATTACAGGCGCACGCCATCATGCCCAGCCAATTTTTTGGTATTTTTGTAGAGACAGGGTTTTTCCACGCTGGCCAGGCTGGTCTTGAACTCCTGACCTCAAGTAATCCACCCTCTTCGGCCTCCCAAAGTACTGAGATTATAGGCATGAGACACCGTACCCGTCCCCTGTGGCTCATTCTTTGGATTATGGGTTTCCACTTTTGCAAGGTAACCTGAGAATTCCACAGATACTCTTTAAGCAGTGGTACCTGAGGTTTAATAGGAAGTGTTTTTATCTTAAGTCAATTAATAAAATTTTTTTCTATCCATTTTAGTTTTCGTTTTCTTTTTCTATCCATTTTAAAGAGTGTTGGATCTGTGGGTGAATTGAAATTTATTTCTAATATGTAAGCAGATTTAATTTTTATGTAGTGTTTAATTGTTCTGTGATTCATGAGCCACTACAAAATGAGTCTTTTTTTTGTTTGTTTGTTTTCGAGACGGAGTCTTGCTCTGTTGCCAGGCTGAAGTGTACTGGCGTAATCTTGGCTCACTGCAACCTCCACCTCCTGGGTTCAAGTAATTCCCATGCCTCAGACTCCCGAGTAGCTGGGATTACAGGCGCACGCCGACATACCTGGCTAATTTTTTGTATTTTAGTAGAGACAGGGTTTCATTGTATTGGCCAGGATGGTGTTGATTTCCTGACCTTGTGATGCACCCTGCCTTGGCCTCCCAAAGTGCTAGGATTACAGGAGTGAGCCACTGCGCCTGGCCCATGAGTCTTTATTAATAGAGATTTCTTACTGGTGTTATGAGGCAGGTTCTATATTCCTCACCCATCATATGTATTCCACTTGCCTTTCTTCTGGGGAAAAATGCCTCTTTTTTATGGGGAAAACTATTGTTTTTGGCATGATTCATTGTTTACTCCATTTTCTTTGCTAATAAGGACTTGGTATCAATTTATAAGTATGTAAAGTTTACCGTAGAGTATTGTCTCATGTGACTCATTCTCATTTTTTGCCCTTTATAGTCTTTGTTGTTATTTCTGAGTATTATTTGGATGATTCCTTTTGACTTAAGGACAGCCCTGTGATACGACAATATTTTTATCTAATCTGATGGAGAAAGCATTCAGTCTCCTGATCAAGTATGATGTTAGCTGCAGGTTTTTAATAAATGCCTTAATTCAGTTTGAAGGAGTTCCCTTCTGTTCATTATTTATTGAGTGTTTCATCAAGTGGTATTGAACTTTTTCAAATGATTTTTTGCATCTATTGGGATGATCCTGGTTTTTTTTTTTGACACAAAGTTTTGCGCTTCTTGCCCAGGCTGGAGTGCAGTGGTGTGATCTCGGCTGACTGCCACCTCTGCCTCCCGAGTTCAAGCGATTCTTCTGCCCCAGCCTCCTGAGTAGCTGGGATCTCCACACCTGTTTTTTTTTTTTTTTTTTTTTTTTTTTTTTTTTTAATATTTTTAGTAGAGACGGGGTTTCACCATGTTGGCCAGGTTGGTCTTGAACTCCAGACTTCAAGTGGTCCACCCACCTCAGCCTCGTAAAGTGCTGGGGTGAGCCACCGTGCCCAGCATATCCCACAATTTTTTTTTTTTTTTTGAGACAAAGTCTTGCTTAAAGTTCAAAATCAGTAAATTGGACACACTTCATTACTATTATTATTTTTGAGATGGAGTATCGCTGCTCTGTTGCCCAGGCTGTAGTACAGTGGCTCAATCTCTGCTCACTGCAACCTCTGACCCCCAAGTTCAAGTGATTCTTGTGCCACAGCCTCCTGAAATCTCAGCTGTGATTATAGGCATGTGCCACCACGCCCAGCTAATTTTTGTATTTTTAGTAGAGACAGGGTTTCACCATGTTGCCCAGGCTGGTCTCGAACTCCTGGCCTCATGTGATCCGCCTGCCTCGGCCTCCCAAAGTGCCTCCCAGGTGTGAACCTGTGTGCCTGGCCTCATTCAAGCCATTGAATGTGGGGGGAGAGGTGGAGAAAATCATTTGTGCTGAGTCTGTGGATGTTATATGCCAAGGAAGAGGCCCAGTTGATAAGAGGGCTCAGGAGAGCCTTGTGAGAGCTTGGTCAAGGACTGAATCTTTTGCCAGTATGTAACGTTATATACAGCACGTGACATATACAGGTACCTATGTATATTGGAGACTGCATTAAGGGGATTCTGCACAGCTGAAGCCCTGACGTGTGGACACCGAGTTGGGGTGGTCACACTTGAGAGTTTGGGATGTTGTTGATACTAGGAGACCCAGGGACAGCTCTGGCCTCTGAAAGGACCATTGAATTCAACCCCTGGAATCCACCCAGACCTTGAGCGTATTTTCTCCTTGCATAGCATCACTCCCCCATGACCTGTCGGGGCAGCTGTGTTCACTCCTCTGCGTCCTCTACCTCACGTCCTCCTGAGCACTTGGTATTTCTACTCTGGTGATAAAAGGTCCCAGTCTCAAGTCTCCTCTCAGGTGACACTGTGACTCGTGCCTGTAATCCCAGCACTTTGGGAAGCTGAGGCAGGCAGATTGCTTGAGGTCAGGAGTTTGAGACCAGTCTGGGCAACATAGTGAAACCCCATCGCTATAAAAAATACAAAAATTAGCCAGTTGTGGTGGTGCACACCTGTAGGCCCAGCTACTTGGGGGGGCTGAGGCAGGAGGATCGCTTGAGCCAAGGAGGTCAAGGCTGCAGTGATCCATAATCACACCACTGCACTCCAGCCTGGGTGATAGAACCCTGTCTCAAAAAAAAAAAAAAAAGAAGGCCAGGCAGAGTGGCTCACACCTGTATCCCAGCACTTTGGGAGACCTAGGTGGGCAGATCACCTGAGGTCAGGAGTTCAAGACCAGCCTGACCAACACAGTGAAACCCCATCTTTACTAAAAATACAAAAAAATTGGCGGTGGCTCAAGCCTGTAATCCCAGCACTTTGGGAGGCCGAGATGGGCGGATCACGAGGTCAGGAGATCGAGACCATCCTGGCTAAAATGGTGAAACCCCGTCTCTACTTAAAAATACAAAAACTAGCCGGGCGAGGTGGCGGGCGCCTGTAGTCCCAGCTACTCGGGAGGCTGAGGCAGGAGAATGGCGTGAACCCGGGAGGCGGAGCTTGCAGTGAGCTGAGATCCGGCCACTGCACTCCAGCCTGGGTGACAGAGCGAGACTCCGTCTCAAAAAAAAAAAAAAAAAAAAAAAAATAGCCAGCCATGGTGGCACACACCTGTAACTTCAGCTCCTCGGGAGGCTGAGGCAGGAGAATCTCTTGAACCTGGGAGGCAGAAGTTGCAGTGAGCCGAGATTGAGCCACTACATTCCATCCTGGGCAACACAGTGAGACTCCGTCCCAAAAAAAAAGAAAAAAGTCCAGTGGTGGCCAGACACATGGTGGGCTTGGGAACAGAAATGCTGGGTGCCCTCCATGGTGTCCTGCTAAGATAAGTAAACAACAAAAAGGAAGGGGCCCCAGGTGGGGGAAGACGCAACAATTGTTCTGAGAAACAGCTAATCACAAAACAACTCAGGGGCACAATGACCTCCCCCATGACCCTATAAAGTTTCCGTCCAGCCCCCACCTCTTGGCAGACAGCTCCTTCTCTGCTGTGCTGCCCGTTGCACTTGCAATGTATTTTCCTACTTTCTCTATTAAACTTGCCTTTCTTTACCCACTGTCTTGGTAAATTCCTTTACTGCCCCTGAACTGGCTCTAGCTAAGTGCACCCAAGACATACTCCAGCCTGGGCAACAGAGTGGGACCCTGTAAAACAAAACAAAACAAAAACCCAAAAGATTAGCCTCTTTAGGCTCTCAAGGACAGCATTTTTTTTTTTTTTTCATTGCTAATGAAAGAGAATCCAAACTTTCTGTGAAGCAAAAGTCCCTCATTTCTTGGTGTGTTCCAGGAAGTCCACTTTTTAGACTTGGAGGATTCAGTCATGAAAGAGCTGACTGCTGTATTTGGTGGAGGTGAAGGGACTCCAGCCCAGGGAGAAGTGCCTCCCCGATCTGGGATCTGGGATCTGCTGGCCTCAATGACCCTCAGATGCAGTTGAAGTGGGTGAACACAGCCTGGAAGCTCAGGAGGCCTGAATGGAGGGGAGGGAATAGCACTGCTCTAAGCTCAGGCCTGCTGATGGGGACGGG